CTAAGGTAAAGAGAATCATGAATCTGAAAAGATCTTCTATTGAATATTATTGGAGAGATTCCAAGATTGCACTTTTTTGGATAAAGAGTGCAAAAACCCGATGGAAGCAGTTTGTGGCAATACGAATCAACAAAATCACCAGCTTGACAGATCCTAACTCCTGGCATCACTGTGCAGGTAAAAAAAACCCTGCTGATTTTCTCATATGGAATGAGTGCTGATTCCTTGCTGACAGATTCTAGATGGGACAGGTCCAGATTCTTGATGCAGCCTGACAGTTTCAAGAACTTCAACCATTTATTCCTGAGATTGAAACCATCGAACAAGTCGAAAAAGAAACTTTGCGGCAAAAAGGAAAATTCCTTTTGAAGATGACTTGAAAAGAAAGCCCTGCTAATGACAGCTCTCAACATTTTTTGTACGACCTCTTAGAACTTTCAAACATTATTATCAAATTAACCATGTTTTTGTCTTATATTTTCAGGTTTATTTTCAATTTGCAGGATAAGGTAAAAAACACAGGACCAACTGTCAGGGAGGAGGTAAGGAATCTGAGAAGTGTTGATTAAGCATGAACAACAAGTTCTCCTTGAAGGAAGAAACTGCCAATAATTTTCGATTTATTTCCGTTTTTTTGATGACAAGGAATAGTACGGTAGGAGGAAGGCTGAAGAATCTTCAGTGCCATATTCTCAAACATCCCCTATTTTACCTAAGGGTTCAAGATTAAGTAAAATTTATTTTGAAAGTTTAACAGAAATTATTTCATGTTGGACCACAAGGTCTGCTAATGCAGTGCGCTTGAAATTTTGGCCTTTAGGTGGCCGTAGTCTCGCAGTAAACAGTACATCAATGTTGTAACGTGCTTTAAATGTAAGCCCACTCTTTCTCCACAAATATGGGTATTTGCCTAGAAAGATTTAATGTTTCAGCCTCCATTTTCTATTACCGGTATTGATTTATGTGGCCCTTATTTAGTGAATTTAAAATCAACGAAAGGTTTCTGAATAATTGTATATTTGTTTTTTATATTTTCGCACCAAAGCCATCCTCCTGAGACATTAACAGATTTGACTTACGATGCTTTAATTGCAACACTTAAACGTTTACAAGTAGACGTGGCAAATGTTCAATTTTACCGACAATGCTACTAACTTTGTTTGAGCGATTCAAAATTGAAAAAATTTTTATAAGCTCATTAATTTCCCAGACAAAGAATTACTAATTATTTTTCGCAAGAAAATATAGATTGAATTTTATTTTAACCCAAATCGCCTCACTTCGGTGGACTTTGGGAAGCTGGGATAAAATCGGTGAAGTACCATCTTAAACGTACAATTGGCAATTTTCATTTCACTTACGAAGAATCGAAACGATTGTCATTCAGATAGAAGGAATATTAAATTCGCGACGCTTACTCCTCTTTCTAGTGATTCAGAAAGTTTCGAAGTTCTGACGCCAGGTCGTTTCTTGATAGGGCGACCTATAACAGCAATTTCTGAGCCGTTTTTAACGGATTTAAAGGAAAACCGCTTAAGTCGTTGGCAAAAAACTACAAAAACTACAACAGGATTAAAACAGGAAGTAAGGATTATATTAGAAAAGTTACTGCTTTGCTACTTTTAGAACGAAGAAGGAAGCATACTCAAATTTCCCTATTGTTAATTTATTATAAGAAAGGTAGACATTTTATATTTTACACACACACACACATATATATAGAGACACATTTGGTAATGTCGACAGCAATAAAAAAGGAGGTGTGCAACAATATGTTATAGCAGTCCTAGATATAAAATTTAACAATCTACGACTAATTGTTTTGAATGCAAGGTGCATAAATGCATACACAGGTATGTACAGATGTCCCCCCCCCAAAAAAAACTTCCATTTTAGTATCTATTCTTGCGGGGAGGGAGTTCTTCATTCTATACACATGCACAAAAAAAAAAATCAAATGATTAAGAACTATGGAATTATATAACAATAAGTAAAACGGCAATTAAGATCTATGGAATTATAAAACAGTTAGAGTCCTGAAGGGTTAACTGAATTCTGAAAACAAGGTATAATATGTACAAATCAATTTTTTTTTAATAGACTACTTGAACAGTGTTTTTCATTTCTATGAAGTTTTCCAACTTTAGTACAGCAATTTGGTTTAAGATGCACACAAAAATATATCTAGGCAGCCATATTATTGATTACACGGATTTATTCTAATAAATGACTGTGTTTATTCAACACTGAGATGTTTTATTTAGTGCTGAGGTGAATTACAAATCCCTTCACCTGCTTTTATTAAGAAAAAATATCTACTGTGCATGCGTGAAGCATTAAGCATATCGTAGTTGCGAAAATTGAAATATGAAAAACTCATTTTTGCGAGGAAATTTTTTTAGGAAGTTTTCATGTTGTACAAAGATGCCATTTCAAACAAACTCCAAACTGACTTAAATTTCTTTTATAATGCATGACATACTGAACTATTTGCAATACAATTTTGATGTAAAAATACAGTACAAAGTCCAAAATTCGGATTCGTCAGGTCCTCAGCAATTCTGGATATTAGATTGTCAGTTTAAATCTAGTAAGATGGCATGTAGAAATTATAAAATTAAAAATATGAAATCGTGATTTATGAAATAATGACGTATTTATGATCTAAAGGGTATCAAAATTTACAAAAAAAGCTTAATATTTATTTGTTTACCTTATTAAACATTTCTTTCAATGTAAGTTGTTTAAGTAGCTTCGTTTTTTGTGCTAATACTTTCTCTTTAATTCTGTAGACAGACATAATTTCTTGTTCAGTTGTTGAAGTCCTGTAGCTGCTGTTTCGAGAATTCCGACTAACTTGTCAATCAAAATTTTCTCGTTTTCAGTAACATCTATGTCACTTTCTTCATTATTGCCAGCGATATTTTCTGCATCTAGAACCACACTACAGATTTCACCATTCATTAATTGATTAATGATTGTGAAGCATTGTCATCCCAATGAAAAACTTCTTTTATATCATCTTCATTTATTACCGCTTCTCCACATTTCTTTACAAAATCTATTAATTGAGAAACTTCACCTTTGATTTGCGATATCCAAAGACCTTTAAAATTAGTGGCTATCATCATCAAATTTAGCTATCTTTCACTATACATATTTGGCTATGCATCATGAGCTTGGCGACTAATGAAAAGTTGTTCCGTTAAATTTTATCTTGCTTCCATGGTGCATGAAACAACCAAGCCTGAATTGTATTAGTTCAGTTATTTATTACAGTTATGTCTATTTCTTGCACATGCTTAAGGCTTATCAGAATTCTGAATAAATAAATTCCCACATATACTTAAGCCTTATTGAGAGCTGGCGCTAGATATATAACTGCCTGATGTAGCCTGTGTGGGTCCTACACTCTGTGACTGGGAGCGGCCATATGAACCCTGGTGCCGGTTCTGGGTTTATGTGAATAACAAATCAGTTATTCTTAAATCAAATAGCCCTGAATATGGTTTGGATCTATGAGTATCATCAACAAAATCTATTTTTAGTATATAAAAAAAATTTTGGGTAAATTTTCCTCATCAACATATTTTAGCGCCTTTAACTTAAATCTGTAATCATCACAAAGCATAATGTCAACATAAAAGGTTACCATACTCCTTTATTATTCAATTACTAACATTTAAAAAAAAAAAATGCTTAGTCATCGCTACATGAGTCATTACTCAAGTTGTCATGTTTTGATAAACATGCGGTGATGAAAGGAAAGTACAATAAATAATGATTCACCAAACAACGTATCTATGTGGAATGTTTCGGTTTGAGATGTGTGCCAAGATGCGCAGCAACGGAGCCAAATTTGATCATACAAATTTATGTTAAAATGATTGTTTCTTCAATAACAAGGTAATTTATTCAGTGTCGAAGGGAAATTAAGAATCGGGACTCACCAGATGTTTTATGTGCGAAGGGGGGGTATCAAATGTGATGCGTAAAGCCTACGAGAAAACGTTATTGGTTGTTTTGAGATCCGGATTTTAGATCATTCAGGATAACGGACGTCCGGATTTTGGACTTTGTACTGTATTAGTATTTAATTATACATTGTAAATATGATGCTCTTAGACTAATTTTATTTTATAATTTCCTTACACTTTTATACTGAGAAAATGTCGGATAGGAAGCAAAAACTTTTATTTATTAAAGTTTTTTTAAATATGCTAAAAATTTAATTAATAATTTGCATAAATATTATTTATCTGGGTAAACTTAGTAACGTGCCATATAATGACATAAATTTATAACAAATATTAACTGATTAAACTTTGGTTGACTCAGCATATAAAAATCTACGAATGCCTGCAGTAGAATAAGACAACTGACAAAATGGAATTTAATAAGATAAAAGTCAATAAAATGTAATAGGAATAAAATATAGCTCAGATGAAATAACATTTAACAGGAAAAAAGTATTTTGAAAATCACTAAGGCTAGAGGAACAGAATTTTGCACAGTTAAAGTTTTATTTATTCAATAAATTTCATCTATTGCTGGGAAACACTTTACTTATAAAAAGCTAAAAATTAAAAACCGGGAGATTCAGCTATCTATTAAAAGACCGGAAGGTGTGATAAAAATCGAGAGAGTTGGCAGCTATGGCATGTGCTAAAGCAAGACACTACTCTCAGAATCTAATTCTTTCTAACTTTCCACAAAACATTTCTTTAAAAAAAAACTGGTGGTCCAGACTTTGGACTTCATACTAATGTCTGGAGTGGGAAAACTAAAATAATTAAAGAAAAATACACATTTCCCCCTCAAAAAGTTTATACACTTATTAAAATTAGAAAGTTTCTCAGTTTTAAGAATAAAATAATAATCTTAAACAACATGCAAATAAAATATGCTGTGAACATACTCCGAATACATACAAATATTTACGTACATTTTCCTACATATTACAATTACAATATTAATGCATGGTAAGATATTAAATTTACTTTTTTGTTGGTCAAAACCAAATTAGTTATGGTAAAGTCTGCAAAATGTTCAATTCCTCCATTGTAAACATCAAAATCTCCAAACTCTTGAGTTATACTTTCTTCTGCTGGCCAATATTGGCCACATTTCACTCGACCTCTTTCTACAGTTTTAGTTGTCATGACAATAACTTGAGTTTCTTGTTCCCAGATCATTCGCCAAAAATCTGGAAATGTTTTTGGAAGAGGACCTGAAACATATTTAAAAAAATTTTAAATGAAAAATTTGGGAATTGATTTGAATTAAGTCAGAAATTTAATTCATACAGCAGTACTCCAGATGTCTGAGTGTTGACTTAAAAAAATGATGTGTATAAATATGAGCATAATTTGAAGATTTCAAAATATTTTAAAATAAGCCCTATACAATAAACAAAAGAGTTAAATTTATTCATAAATTTAAATGTAAAACTGAAACCTTTTTCTCCTAGCAAAGTTTCTAACACACAGAATTTCAGCACTGTTCTGAAAAAATAAACATGGAAAGCATGCTAATATAATGAAAATTATTAAATACAGTTACTGAAAAGATATAACAACAAATACTGACATTCAGCATGCACTGATTGTGAATGCTGAATACAAATACAGTCAAAAGTCGTTAATTCGGACACCCATAATCCGGACCTCAAAGCTACAAACTTTCTGCGCATGCGTCTCTTTGACGCATGCGCGTAAGACCTTTACCGCTGCGAATTTGCGTGTGCGCATGCGCAAAATACGTTTACGAATGCGCATTTAATGTATAACGGATGGAATAAGCTAAGCTAAAATTATCTAATTATCTATTTCAGTTAATGTTGCAGATTGCGTTGTTCCTTAATCTTCGAATTGGATCCGGATTATTATTTTTTGCAGACTGTTAGAGCAATTTTATAAAAGTAAGCTTGAACTTTCGATTATGTCAAATAGAATTTCTGATATATATTTACTAATATGTAAAGGATCTACAAAGCGAAAGTATGTTTTGAAGTCCATTAAACAAAAAGTAGAATTGCTGCAAAAAATGGATAAAGGCATACCCTTTGTTTATGTAAACTTTAACGTTTGTTTATCTAAAACATTGTTTATCTTTAACACAGGGCGGCATGTACTGAATTGGAAGTTGATCCAGCACTATCCTTATCTTAAGAGCAGATGTTTTTATTTTATTTGGCTTATAATTGCTTACTCAATGTAGTATTTCATCTCGATGTGTCTTTGATATGATTTAAATCAAATGCCTCGTCATTATAATTCGCTTCGGGATAGCGAAGAAAGTGATAGAGGTTATTGAAAACGAAAAAATTTCGATTGACAAATTAGTCGGTATTCTTGACACAGCAATTATAGGACTTGAACAGCGGAACTTTGTAACTGAACACGAAATTATGTCTGTTTATAGAATTAAAGAGAATGTATTATCACATAAAAAACGAAGCAACTTAAACAACTTACATTGAAAGAAATGTTTAATAAAGTAAACAAATAAATATTAAGCTTTTTTTTTGTAAATTTTGATACCCTTTAGATCATAATTGTTCTTTATTTCGTAAATTACGGTTTCATATTTTTAATTTTATAATTTCTGCATGCCATTTTACCAGATTTAAACTGATGATCTATAATCCGGAATCGCCGAAGTCCCGACGAGTCCGGATTAACGACTTTTGACTGTATTTTCTTAAAATCAAAAATTCAATTTTTTAAATCATACTTTATTATTAAAATGTATTACGATATACTTCAAAATATTAGAAGGCCTATGTAACAGCATACATAAATTAAACTGTTAAACCTAAAACAAACAGTACATTCTAAATCGTAATACCAATAATGTTAATACAAATAATAATTTTATAAATTATGTGATTAACATTATACACTAATTTATTGCAACAACTTACACTGTTATGATATTTTGAATTAAAAACAACTGGCTTCTCATTTACTCATAATTAAAAAACATAACTTAAAAACAAAAAGTGGGTCATGGTTCATTGCAGTGATCATTCAATATAAATTCGGCTATCGAACAAAAAAATAAAATTCAAGCATATGTTGCATGCATCACTAAACCTTGCATGAAACAGACAAACAGCACACTGTTCAAGAATCTAACAAATAGATGCCACATGATCTCAGGTATGGTAGAACAAAGGATTTGGAATTTTTCAAACTTTTTTCTTGGCTTGTAATTTTGACCCACACCAGAGCTTATGTGTGCTTGTCGACATTTACCAAGAATGTTCTAAATACATAAGAACATAACCTAATATTCAGTCTTTCACCAACGCATTTGGTATTTGTCAACATTCACCAAATTCTGATATTCTCTAATTCTGGTCTTTCACGGTAACATACATACAGTGGAAGCTCGTGATATGAGCACCTCTGTATACGAGAAATTCGAGATACGAGGAAAGTATGAGCGAAAAGTTTGTCTCTAAATACAAGCATTGACTCGAGCAACAAGCAATGAACCAGGCTGTTGGTATGTGGCGCCATTTTCGATTCGGCTCTATTCAGGAAATCCCCTCATCAGATCACTCAGTGTTCATTGATCTACATGTTTGTGCGCTTCTGAGTTAATTGTTTATTACATTTAACGTGAAAATAATTATTTCATGATGCCTCCCAAGAAGACTGTTGCCTCAGATACCACTGCAAAGAAAAATAAGAAAGCCATGGTTATTGAAATTAAGAAAGAAATTGTAGATAAACATAAGAATGGTGTAAGAGTGACAGAACTGGTGAAGACATGGCCTTTCGACATCGACGATCTGCACTATTCTGAAGAAGAAGGAAGAAATTAAAATTGATGCAGGCAAAGGAGTTACCATTACTTCCAAGCACTCTCCAAAACTCCTACAAGCTGTTCTTGGTGTGGATTAATGAGAAAGAGTTAAAGTCGGTGTCATAAGCTATCATAAAGGTAAACTAGGGGTTATATTATTTACCAGTGTTATTTATTAGAAAAATTTATTTTTATGTTGATAGTTTTGGGAAGCGGAACAGATTAACTGGATTTCTACTATTTTCAATGCAGAAGTTTCTAGATATGAGAAATTTGCTATAGAAGTTCAATGCTGGAACGAATTAAACTCGTATCTTCAGGTTCCACTATATATAAATTTCATAAAAAATTATCATATTTATTCACTAACTGATAAATATAGCACAATAAAAAGCACACAGAAAGACACATTAATATTATTAAATTATGTATTTCAAAGGACTTATCAATTTCAACAATATTTCTTTTACTTAAAGTAATTTCTTATTTGTGCATACATTTTACATTATTACTTTAAATCAGAATTTCTAAATCATATGCTCTGAATATATATTTATAGGGAGAACAGTATGCAAGTTAACCCTTTCCACTGCTTAATGTTTTTTTCCCCCCTTACTAACCAACAACTCTTTAATTGATTTACCAAATAGATAAAAAAAAAAAAAAAAGAGGGTCTCAATAAAGGTCGTATTGCAACTGTGCAGAGTGTGTAACAGATATTTTTTCGATTGTATTAAGCAGTAAATAAATATAAATTTATATATTTAAGCAATTTTTCAAAGTATGATATTTTTTAAAACATTCTCCTGGATAAAGACCGGGTTTTCTATCACAAGTATCACAAAAGAATGTTTCTTTTCTCCCTCCTTTGACCTTCCGATTGGAACACACCATACAGCCCTTGTGTTTTTTTATGAGAAAAAATAAAATGAGTCTTCCCATCTAAACCTTAGATAGTATCATCTGTGGATAATCAGCCGGGTTTTTTGTGTGCGAGCACGAAAGTCTTTGATTAGACTCATCAATAAATTTTCTCTATAATCTAATATGACAGTCGGTTTACTTCTTCTTCACTAGCATTTTCAGTTGTCTTTGATCTTTTTCTCGCAGGTTGTGAAACAGAAGATTGTTTTATACTAAACATTGTGACCACTCTTTTGTCACACCATGTTACTAACGTTTTTCCTTATCTAAGCCATTTTACGTCCAATAGCTAATTTTTATTTTTTATTTTTTCTGGCAATTGGTCATAATTGTTCCAGTAAGAATGCAATTGGGTTTGAGAAGTTCTGCACCTAAGGTGGGGTTCGTATAAAATCTGTCAGTAAAAATATGATACCCTTTACCTTCAGGAATCGAATTTTGTAAATTTCGATAGAGTTGCATCACAATTCTACTAGTGAAATTAAGATCTGGTCTAATTAAGCCATCTGTTATAATTTTACCATAATATGGAACAAATGTATATAAATAACTTGTCTTAGAATATGCTAAAACATAAACTTGAAGTCCTCATTTTGTTGCTTTTTTAGGGTTAGATAGACGTGAGAAAGAATATTTTTCCCTTGAACTAGATTGTAGATTCATCAACTGCCAAAGTTTCACGAGATACAAGGGTTGGAACTTTAATAGTGGCAACACAGCTGAAAAACGCTACACAACAAAACCAAAGAATATCGCGTATACCACACGTAAACTACATACCTACCTTACCTCTCAGCAAAAAGACTCGTCCTGCCTACGTCACGTGCATGCGGAGTGACGCGAAGAATGGATCTTTGTATTAGCTCGCGGTCTAAAGTAAGTGTTGTCAGGATGTTTTCAAAACAAGAACAACGATGTTGGATAAAAATTTAATGTGCCAGAGGTCGTACAGCACGACAGTGTCATCAAGGGCTTCAAGAGGCTTGCGAGGATCTGCATTGCCTTACAGAACCTTAGCAAGATGGATGAAAGCATTCAATGAAGGACGCCAAAACGTGGCAGACATGCTGCGGCCAGGTCGTCCGAGTGTCAGCAATGCAGACATGCAAGCTGTTGCCGCACTAATGGACAGTGATCGCTGCCAAACGATTTTTCAGCTGGCCAGACAAACAGGATTAGCACATACGACTGTGCTGCACATTCTGAAGGAACGCCTGTCCATGAGAAAATTGCTTCACGATGGGTTCCACATCAATTGAAGGAAATGCAGAATTTAAAATATACTGGCTTTTCTTCCGTATACATTATGAGGAAGGGGATGGAAGAGCTGATCACTCAGGTACCATTTACTTACAGATATAACATTTTATATGTATGCTATGTATTGATTAACATTTCATATTATCAAAATTAATGTATTACACATTTTGAAGGAATTAGAACCAAAACATACCTTGTGAAGATATAAAAGCATTCTTCTGCTTATATCCATCCACAAAATTTGCATTGACATAATCAGAATAAGGATCATCATCAACCAGAGATAATTTTACACGACTATGGTCATAACACAAAACATCTGTATATCTATTTTTTGGTTGATTTGGCTTTAGCCTAAAAAATGGAAAGAATAATTACAATATACTTAAAATTTGAATTCTAAATGCATATTAAAATATCTGAAGAGATTAGAGCAATTTTATAAAAGTAAGCTTGAACTTTCGATTATGTCAAATAGAACCGATATATATTTACTAATCTAGTCAATTGATAAACATATTAGGAGATGAAAAAGCTTCAAAAACAAATATTTTTATTCAAACCACATAACAGAAATGCCCATCTTGATTTACAAAGTAAAATCTATAATAAAATATGATGAATGCTTTATGAATTCCCTCTCTTTTTAAATTTTATTCCTTTACAAATGTTTTCTACTGATTTTCATTTTTAAATGTGAGGGAAGAATGACTGCATACTTAATATGGTTGCTAATTAGGTTTTTGCATTCTTATTTACTCAAGGTATAAAATTTTATACAGTTAAATGGGGGGGGGGAAGACTCATAGAAGTTAAATTCTGGAAAGATATGAGATTTAAATTTAAAAATCCCAATTTAAACAAGAAAATTTTTTTGAAAACAATTATGATTTTTATACATTTTGGATTTAAGGTAGTCCACAAATGCAAAAATTAATTATGGTTATAATATGATAACAACAAACAGCTTTTCCTACATCGAATAATTTTCAAAATATTTTGGTGCTTTTTCTCAAAAAACACCTAGAATATTTGTATTATTGCAAAATATCATTCCATACATTAGAAACGGAAAAACAATACTGAATCATCGAAAAGATTGCATGAAGTCCTTTACGCACAGGGTGGTTCTTCTCTCAAAACCAGAATTGCTTTTAATGCCTTTAATAAACAGAAACAAAGTTACATACTTGCCACTTCATTTACTTTTTATTCCTCACTTTCACTAACAATAAGGAGTTAATACTTCAAACTTAATAATAAATCAATTCTGAACTATTATTTTTACAATTAAAATTCTATGCCACAAGAAAATCAATTTTTCATTTCAATAGAATATAATATGTTGTTATTAAATAATTTATCATTTCTTCTAATCAAATGATACAGAATGCTGTGATGTTGCTGCACTATTAATATAAAATAATTAGTCAAGATTAAATTAACATTCACAACAGTGTATTAGCTGGCTTATTTTTTTTTTTTTTGAATGCAGGAAATAATTTTGTAATGCCACTTATGAGTCATTATATTTACTAGCTGTATTACTATGAACTTATGTCTAATGGCTTACATTTTATATTGATGAATACTTCAATCTAAATATAAATATATTTCCCCAAAACTAAAATCTACCGTATTATTATTATTTTTAAATTAGCACTTTTAGTACATACAAATCAATATAACAAAACCAATTCAAATGGTCCCTTTACATATAAACCTGCATAGCAATTCCATATACAGAAAAAAAAAGGGGGGAAGGCTATGCAATTGTTTTCAACAATAAAAAGTTTCATCACTGCACAGCTTTGCACGTATTAAGCCATGCTAACAAGTCATTAATTTAGAAAAAAAAGGGGGGAGGTTAGAATTCTTAAACTGTTAAGATAGAAATTTACAACTCATAAAAAAGCAAGATAATAAATACATTTCTTTGTTTCTAGTTAGAAATATTTTATTAATTTTTTCTTGAAAGATGATAAACAGCTTTCCTATTTCATTAAAATAAAATAAACATAGAATCATTCTCTAAAAATTATGATATATGATTCAAAATTTTCTTTCTTCAATATTAAGTAAAGAAACCTTTTTCTTAGCAATAAGAAATGCATGCTAAGCCAAAATGCTTTAATTTCTTAATAACGAGAAACACTATACAGTCAAAAGTTGTTAATCTGGACACCCATAATCCGGAATGATCTATAATCCGGACCTCAAAGCTACAAACTTTCTGCGCATGTGTCAATGCATATTGCGTTCATGCATGCGCATGTGCATAATACGTTTACACATGCACGTTTAATGTATAACGGACGGTATAAGCTCAGCTAAAATTACCTAATTATCTATTTCAGTTTATGTTGCAGATTGCGTTGTAATGTATTTTGCAGTAATTTACAAAACAGACAATCTTCTTAGTAGAACATAAATTTTATTTCTAGTTCCCGGTGTTAGACAAATTTTATACAATTCTTAAGTGGCAAAATTTTTATACTACTCCTAGCTGGTAAAATCTTCAGAATCCTAATCTTCTTAAAACAATATCTCATGTTGCTGAGTAACGGTTTAATATAAATATGGCGTTGCCACTTCAACAATAATTATATTTATTTATTAAATAACAAAAGATTACAACCTCTACCCCCTCCAGATAAACTTTAATTTATATTTTTATAAATTAAATTCGTCAAGTCTTAATAAGAGATTAAAGTATAGAACTAAATTGTTAAATGATCTGAGACAACGATTTAGAAAAGAATACCTTAGTCAACTGGTTCAAAAGCATAATGAAAAACGATCTCGGGAACCTGTAGTAGGAGAAATAGTACTGATGAGGGATGATAACAGAAAACGTTTATTTTGGCCTTTAGCCCGAATTACAGAATTGGTCCCTGGACGTGATGGAAAGATTCGTACGGTTAAACTTAAGACCCGGCATGGAACAGTTATACGACTAATACAACGCATCTTTCCTCTGGAGATACAGTCCAATGATAGAAACATAATTCCTGATAAGAAACTGGGTGCACAGGAATCTAATTCTAGTGCTGGGTGTACGCTAAAAAGGGGAATTGCACCTGATAAAATGGTGATGCAACAATATTCCTCCTCTGGACGACTTGTAAAAGCTTCAAAAAGACAAATGTCTGTTATGAGTTTGAGACTCAATCTGAGTCTCAAGGGGGGGGATGGGAGGATATTGTGAAATGAACTGAAGTAATAACTGGCGCGAGGCGCTGCTGTTCGTGACGTCAGCCTGCGTGCTGAGTGTTTTCGAATGCTTTTGCTTGTAGACGGAACGAAAGCTGATCTCGGAAGAGTGATACTGTTTTGATGAAAATAAAGAATGACTTATTAAAAATTTATTGTCTTTATTCATAATGCACCCAGCCTCGGGTAGAGGCAGGTCCGCAACTGAACGAACTGTTTTGAATATATTTGATTTATTTATTTTCTGTGTTCTTCGCAACACCTACAAATGCTCTGACTTGACTTTTTGTGGATGGCACTGGAAAATCAAGAATAGCTTTTACTTTCACTTCACTTGGCATTCTTATACCACGACCTACAATATGTCCTAGATATTTTACTCTATCTTGAGCAAATTTATATTTTATTGGTTTAATAGTTAAACCAGTGTCCTTTATTTTCAACAAAACAGCTTTCAGGTGACTTAGATGTTCTTCCCAGGTGTTTGAAAATATTGCCACGTCATCTAAATATGGAACAGCAAAGTTTTCACAACCGTGGAAGGATTTCGGCCATCATTTTACTAAATGAAAATGGTGCATTTTTAAGTCCGAAAGGCATCCATGGAGGTCTAAATGTGCCCAAAACTTGTAACAAAAGTGGCTAATCTTTGAGCATTAGGTTGTTAAAGGTATTTGCCAGCATCCCTTTGTTAAATCCAAAAGAGTTATATATTTTGCGCCTGTTACCGTTTCTACTCATTGTTCGATGTTAGGCAAGGGGAAGAATTGTGTTTTAGTCAACTTATTCAATTTTCTGTAGTCGATACAAGGTCTTGGATCCCTCCCTGCTACCTTCTCCACTAAAATCATAGGAGAAGTGTAATCTGAATCTCCTATTTCAATTATTTTATGCTGAAGCATTTTATCAATTTCTGTTTTTAAAACATTCGTTTGTCTAGGAGACATTCTGTATGGTTTACAGTGGATTGGGATGTTTTCTGTCAATTGAATATCATGCGTTATTAAATGAGTTTTTCCGGGTTTATTAGAAAAGATTTTTGAAAACTTCAGCAGCATATCATGCAATTCTTGAATCTGTTGTTCATTTAGCTTATCACTTAAGGAACTGTTTTCTTTAATGTCCTCAAAATCGAACAATGTTGGTTCAGAGTCAATTGTTGGGAAATTTTCCTCCATATCATCAAATTCAGATTGATCTTCTGTAATCATAAGGTTAACCGATTCTGCTCGTCTATGATAAGGTTTTAGCATGTTAACATGGTAGACTTGGTTAAAGTCATTTTTTCCTTCGAAACTCACAACATAATTAGTTTCGGATAATTTCTTCTCAACCTTCCCAGGACCTTTCCATTCAACTGCTAGTCTGTTTGGTTTATTCGTTGATACAACTAATACTAAATCCCTTCAGAGAATTCTCTTTTCATAGCTTTACGATCGTACCACACTTTTTTTTTTTTTTGGTTTGCATTTCCAGCATTTTTATCTGTAGCCAGCTCTTTGCATCTTTTTAACCGATTTATCAATTGAAAAAACGTATTCAACAACATTATTTCCTTCGTCTTCAGGATTCATCCATTGTTCATATAATAATGTTACAGGTGTTCTAAGATTTCGACCATATACTAATTCTGCAGGTGTAAATCCCGTACTCTCGTGCGTTATTGTTCTTAAAGCAAATAGAGCTGCGGGAACTTGCTTCTCCTTGCTTCTCCCACTCAAGCGCTGCTTCGATACATAAAACTTTTAAAATTCGTTTGATTGTTCGGTGAAATCTTGCAACAGGGTTGCTCTGCGGATGGTGTACTGAGCTTCTAGTTACTTTTATTCCAAATTTTTCTACAAATTCAATGGCTAGATTGCTCATAAAGGAGGTACCTTGATCAGTTTGTATTTCTTTCGGAAAACCCATTCTACTAAATATTTGTAACATGGCTTCAATTACTGACGTTGTGCAAATATTACGAACAGGTACAGCATCCGGATATTTTGAAGCTACACAAATAGCTGTAATTAAATATCTATTGCCATTCGGTGTTATTGGTAAAGGACTGCATGCGTCAAAGTTAATTTTTGAAAATACTTCTGCAATAATTGGTACTAAAGTCAAAGGTGCTTTGGCTTTATCATTAGATTTTCCCA